AGAATATTCCACAATACAACCCAAGAGGACATACACAGAACATACACAGCATGTGCTATGCACAGAGAGGCAACCTGTCCTCATTTTGGTATATTTCCTTCCATCATTTCATATAGATAGATAGATCTTGCAGTCCAGTGCATTAACCAGCAGTGCTACACCAGGACTGAAAGATTGGTTTGAACTGCAAGGTCAATGGTTCAAGTTCACAAGCTGCTCCTCAGATACAGAAGCGCTATGAATCAGACCTGATTCGATGGCACTTAACAACAACAACAAATACATATGTATATATATGTTGTTGTTAGGTACCATGGAGTTGGTACTGACTCTTAACAACCCTATGCATAACAGAACAACACAATGCCCAGTCCTGGGCCAACCTCACAATCGTTGCTACATTTGAGTCCATTGCTACTGCCACTGTACCAATCTATCTTGCTGGAGGTTTTCCTTTTTGTCTCCAACCCTCCACTTTACCAAACATGATATCCTTCTCCACAGACTGGTCCCTCCTGATAATATGTCTGACGTATGAGAGATGAAGTCTGGCCATCCTGACTTCCAACGAGCATTCTAGTTGTACTTCTTCCAACACAGATCTATTTGATCTTTTGGGCAGCCACGGTATTTTCAATATTCTTCTCCAACACCATAACTCAAATGAATCAATTCTTCTGTGGTCTTCCTTATTCACTGTCTAACTTTTGCAGGCATATGAGGTTGTTGAAAATACTATGGCTTGGGTCAGGTGCACCTTAGTCCTTAATCTGACATATTTGCTGTTCAACACTTTAAGGAGGTTTGTGCAGCAGATTTGCCCAATGAAATATGTCGCTTGATTTCTTGACTGCTGCTTCCATGAGTGTTGGTGGTTGATCTGAACAAAATGAAGTCTTTAACAACTTCAATCTTTTCTCCTTTTACGTGGATGTTATTTATTGGTTCAGTGGTGAGGATTTTTGTTCTCTTTACATTGAGATGCAACCCATACCGAAGGCTGTGGTCTTTGACCTTCATCAGTAAGTATTTTAAGTCCCCTTCGCTTTCAGCAAGCAAGGTTGTATCACTACATATTGCAGGCTGTTAAGGAGTCTTCCTCCAATCCTGATGGCACGTTTTTCTTCATATAACCCAGTTTCTTAGATCTTTTGTTCAGTATACAGATTTAATAAGTATGGTGAAAGAATACAACCCTGGTGAACACCTCTCCTAATTTTAAACCATTTGGTGTTTCCTCTTCTGTTCGAACAACTGCCTCTTGGTCTATGTACTGGTTCCTCATTAGCACAAATAAGTGTTCTGGCATATTCACAATGTTGTCCATAGCTTGTTATGATCCATACAATTGAAATCCTTTGCATAGTCAATAAAGCACAGGTAAACACCTTTCTTGTATTCTCTGTTGTCAGCCAAGATCAATCTGACATCAGCAATGATATCCCTTGTTCTATGTCCTCTTCAGAATCTGGCTTGAACCTCTGGAATTTCTATGTCAGTGTATAGTTACAGCGGTTTTTGCATTATTTTTAGTAAAACTTTTCTTACATGGGATATCAATGATATTGTCCAATAACTTCCACATTCTGTTGGGTCACCTCTTTATGGAATGAGCACAAATATAGATTTCTTCCAGTCAGTTGGCCTAGCTGTCTTCCAAATTTTTTGGCATAGATGAGTGAGTGCCTCCAGTGCCCCATCAGTTTGTTGAAAGATTTCAATTTGTATTCCATCTATTCCTGGTGCCTCATTCTTTGCCAATGACTTCAATGCACCTTGGACTTCTTCCTTTAGTATCATTGGCTCTCAATCATATGCTACCTCTTAAAATGGTTGAACATCGCCCAGTTTTTTTTGGTATTGTGACTCTGTGTATTCCTTCCATCTCCTTTTGATGCTTTCTGCATCATTCAGTATTTTGCCCATGGTGATGATGGTGAGAGTGTGCAATGGAGTCAGTTCCCACTCATAGCGACCCTGTGTAGCGTTTCTGAGGCTGTAAATCTTTGCAGGAGCAGAAACCCTCATCTTTCTCATGTGGAATGGCTGGTAGTTTCGAACTGCTGGCCTTGAGGTTAGTAACTCGACTCATAACCACTAAATACCAGAGCTTCTTGGTCTTCCTTGTAGGTGTGTGGATATTATCTTATCACAAACAGCATTGTACTTCATGACTGATCTTGATATGGTTTTTTTTGATGATGAATGTGACACCATTCTTCTTCAATTTGCCATTTCTGGCTTAGTAAACCATGTGATTGTCTGATTCAAAATGGCCATTACCAGTCCATTTCAGCTCACTAACACCTAGGATATTGATGTTTATGTGTTCCATTTCATTTTTGACAATTTCCAATTTGTCTAGATTCAGTTGACCCTTTAATCATGATATAGTGGCCTTCTTTGTCTCTTATGCTGGTTATTACCTTAAAGTATATTTTATGAGGAAAAAAAAATTACCCTGCCAGTATTTAAAATGCTACTTGTCTGTCAGTGTGTCATACTGTATTGCTGTGATCTTAGAATTTGTCAAGTCCCATGAAATCCTACATAGGGTTTTCAAAGAGCGACTGGTGGGTTTGAACTGCCAACCTTGTGGTTAGCAGTCCAGTGCTTATCTTACAGCACCACACCAGCATATATATATATATATATTGTTGTTGTTGTTAATTGCCATTGAGTTGGTTTAGACTCATAGCAACCCAGTGTAGGGTTTCTGAGGAGCAAATGGTGGGTTTGAACTGCTGATCTTTTGATTTGAAGTCCAGTGTTGATCCTATTTAGCACCATACCAGCAGTATTCAGTACTGACTATATAAGTATTCAGAATACATAAATTTATATATTCAGTAGTGTGTACTGCTTTTGATACTTAACGTAAGTTGTAAGCAAAAAATAACCTTAAATATTATTTGAAAACATGTTTTTAATGCCTGTATGCTATTCCATGGCAGGGGTGTCCCACATTTATTTAGCCACAGGAAGGTAGGCCCCAATGTTCTAAGGTGTTTGTGTTTAGTGGAAATTAGCTATCAGCTAATTCTGTCTAAGTGGCAAGGGCAGATATCTGGAACTAGAAGCAGGGAAAGGAAGGCTGGCTCAGGAGGCACACAAACAAAGCCTATTATTGTTGTTAGGTGCCGTTGCATTGGTTCTGGCTCATAGCAACCCCATGTACAACAGAACAAAATACTTCCTGTTCCTGTGCCATCCTCACAATTGTTGCTATGATTGAGCAGCCATTGTTGCAGCCATTAGGTCAGTCCATCTTCTTGAGGGTCTTCTGGTTGTTTGCTGATGTATTATCAGGAGGGACTAATCCTTGGAGTAGAATCTGAACAAGCATGATAACTTTCTCCAAGGACTGGTCTCTGCTGATAACATATCCAAACTAAGTGAGATGAAGTCTCATCATTCTTGCTTCTAAGTAGCATTACTCCAAAAACAGATTTGACCATGCTTCTGACAGACCATGGTATATTTCAGTATTATTCTCCAACATCATAATTAAAATACATCACTTCTGGTACCTTCCTATCCCTTCCTATTGAGAAAATATCTCACAATGCCTGACACATAGTGGGTACTCGATAATACTTATCCACTGCCTACTATGTTCCTACTAAGGAGCTCTGGTAGCGTAGTGGTTACAAATCGAGCTGTGAACCACAAGGTCAGAAGTTCGAAACTACCAGTGGTTCTGCAGGAAAAAGATGAGACGTTCTGCTTCCGTAAAGATTTACAGCCTCGGAAACCCTGTGCAGGGTCACTATGAGTCAGAACTGACTCCATGGCACTTAACAACAACAACACTATATTCCAGGCCATGTACAAGCTGATTAAACATGGTCTCACTCTACCTACAAGGAACAAGTGAGAAATATGTTGAACACCCACTGTGTGCCAAGCATATCACATACATTCTAGCACTTATTCTCACTACCACTACCACCTGTGGTATCATGATCTGATCAGTTTCATTTTTCTTTAGACGTAAAAATGGAGGCTCAAAGAAGTTAAATAAATTCACCAAGAGCTCAGAGTGAGCTAGTTACAGAGTTGGATCCTAACCCAGATAGGTCTGGTTCCAAAGCCCCTAGCTCTTTCTCTCACACATCAGGCTGTCTCACCAAGTGGGAAATGCCAAAGGCCTTGAATGAAGTGTCTTGGGAAGTCTGGCTTGTGAGGGGAGAGAAGGATGACCAAGGAAGCATTATCAAGAAGGAAACATTTGAGATGAGCCTTCTAATTAGGTAAAATTCAGACATGGGAAGCTGATGGGGAAGGATCCTGTGGAACAATATAGACCAAATGTGCCAGGAGGCATTATCTAGAGACCAGGTGACCAAGGTCTGGCTTGGGGAATAGGCAGTGAAGTTGGAGGGTGTGAGGGAGGTATTTCAAACATGGAGGCAGTAAGATATAATGGCCCACTGAAGAGATTACTGTAAGGCTAGAAGGACCACAGTTTTTTATTGAAAGCCTAAATTAAAAAACAACAACAACACAGCAACGCTAGGAGATCATCTCTAGCTCTCTGGATGGGAGCAAGGAGAGAAAGAGGGAGGAAGAAAAGGAACACATGTACTGAGTTCCAAATACATGATGGATTCTGTGTAGCGTCATGTTCTGTATGTGGTGAGGGCTTAGGTGCTCTTTCCCATACTTAGGCACAGAAAGCCTGTTCAAGACAAGTAAAAACCAGTTGCTGTCGAGTCTTCTGACTCATGGCAACCCCATGTGTGTGAGAGTGCAAGTGTGTTCCGTGGCGGATTTTTCTCAGTAGAGATCCTGAGAAGCCCCTACGTGGACTTAAACCTCTAACCTTTCAGTTAGTGGGTTAAATGTTTGCACCACCCAAGGAGTTCTAAAGACAGGTAAGGGCATAACAAAAGTCAAAACCAGCTCATTTCTACAATACCTGCAACATGTCAATGACACCACATTGCCTCCCAAGTCTCTCCTTGACACTCACCTCCTCTATTATCTTCTCTTCCCAGTATTGGTGCTCTGGTGGGCTTGTCCATAGCAGCAGTGGTCCTCCTGGCCTTCATTGTCACTGCCTGTGTGCTGTGCTACCTGTTCATCAGCACCAAACCCCACACAAAGTTGGACCCAGGCTTAACCTTAGAGGCTACAGGTAAGAAAGAGGCTAAATGATTTTCATGGTGTATTCAGCAGGCTAACACTTTACAGAGGGGAGCTGTTTAGAGGTAAAATTCATAACCTTTGCCTGACAAGTATTCCTGGAATATTCAGAAGCAGCAGCACATTTCTCAGGAGGTTCATGGCCTGAACATTTCCACCCCAAACTCTTTATGTGTTTATTGAAAGAAATTGGTGTAGTCAGCACTATATTTGTCACATGAGGATTAATCCATGTTGTGGATTTTCTAAAACAATACTTTCATTCTAGCCTGATGAGTACTTGTTATTTTTATTAAGTGCCATTGAGTGGTTTCTAACTCATCACAACCCTGTATAGGGCTTCTGAGGAGTGGCTGGTAGATTTGAATCACTGACCTTGTGGTTA